GGATAAACAAATCTCATTCTCTGTCTTCTTGCTCTCAGATTTTTTTTGTTTTTTAGTATAACAATTTAAGATGAATTAGAGAGTTCTTTTTGTCTTCTTCTTCTGAATCAAGACATAATGATTCCTCATAATGAAGACCGTCTCTCCTTCTCTAGCTTTGTCCATGACCAAGAACACATAGCCCCAAATCCTAACCCTAACTCTAAGCCTGCTTCCACTAATACATCCCAGAGAAAGAGAAACCTCCCAGGAAATCCAGGCATGTGTATATATATGTATACTAATATAGTGTCTCCGATGAGTTTTCAAAATTCTCTTGACGTTTCCATCAAAATCAATACTCTCATTTCAAGTCTAGATATTTTCTCTTTTTTCCTTCTTGGTTATTGTTTTATTTTCCTAGCTCTAATTTTGTTTCTAACAAGATCACAACAACAAAACACAGATCCAGATGCAGAAGTCATCGCTCTATCTCCAAAATCCCTCATGGCGACAAATCGATTCTTCTGCGAAATCTGCAACAAAGGGTTTCAGAGAGAACAGAATCTTCAGCTTCACAAAAGAGGCCACAACCTTCCATGGAAACTGAAGCAAAGAACCAACAAGGATCAAGTCAAGAAGAAAGTGTATATTTGCCCTGAGAAGAGCTGTGTCCATCATGATCCAGCTCGAGCCCTAGGAGACCTCACTGGAATCAAGAAACACTTTAGTAGGAAACATGGAGAGAAAAAGTGGAAATGTGACAAATGTTCTAAGAAGTATGCCGTGATATCAGATTGGAAAGCTCATAGCAAAATTTGTGGAAGCAGAGATTATAGATGTGATTGTGGTACGCTCTTCTCCAGGTCACTACTACTCTTCTCTCTACGTCTTGGTCTCAACTCTTATCAAATTTCTTTACACGTTAGGTTATTGTATTTATTTTCCAAAAATTAAATTAACATATCCAATCTATATATAATAGGAAATCCAAAAAAATAATATTTTTTATTACATCTTTTCGAAAAACCGCCGTCTATTTATAGGTTTTTGCTAGAGTCAAATTTTTTTAAAGAAAAATTGCATTATGATTATTTTGAAGGGTTGCGTCTTCTCGACAAAAACCGTTTTATGAAGAATTGCGTTTTTTTTGTTGTAACCTCTTTATCATGAGTTATGTCTTACCATTATAATTGTTTCGTCAAGAGTTGCGTCCTTTTGAAAATAACCGCTTTTTAATTTTCTTTAAAAGTTGCGTCTTTTCAAAATATAATAGTCAATCCAAAAATATGAATATTTTTATTATGTCTTTTCAGAGAACCGTCGTCTATTTATAGATTTTTGCTAGAATAATTTTTTATGAAAAAATCGTATTATGGTTATTTTGAAGGATTGCGTCTTCTCGACAAAAATCGCTTTATGGTTATTTGCAAGAGTTGCATCTTTTTCGTTAAAACCATTTTGTCAAGAATTGCGTATTTTCGTTATAACCGTTATTTTTGGGTTGTGACTTTTCGTAAAATAACCTTTAAGTAGTTATTTACAAAGAGTTGCTCGTTCCATTATAAATTGTCAAGAGCTACGTCTTTTCAAAATAACCACCTTATGATTATTCTCAAAAGTTGTGACTTTTCAAAATAACGACTTTATAGTTATTTTTAAAGGTTGCATATTTTGGGAAAAACCCTTTAGCCTAGATATATATTGTTTTAACTTTTTTTCTATTGAACATTTTGTTAATCATATATATTGTTTTTTTACTTAACGCATAAGAAAAATAAAAAACTCTTCTCTATTATTTACAAATTATTCAAACGTATTGATTTTTTTATTATTGATGAAGTTCCAATTTTTTTTGAATTTTGTAAAGAATTTTGGATTTCCATAGACAATGCATATTTCATGGCAAATTTTAAATATAGAAAATAATGAAATGGTTAAAGTTATTTAATATTTTATGTAAAATTGAATATTGTTGGATTGGGTCTTTTTGATATAAAAAAAATTTCTGGTATAACCGCTTTGTGGTTATTTGTAAGCGTTGCGTTATTTCGATATATCCACTTTATGGTTGTGCCTTTTTTTTCCTTTCATAAAACAGTTAATAGTTATTTTTAAACGTTGTGTCTATTCACTATAATCGTTTTGTTAAGAGTTGTGTATTTTCCATATAACCGTTTTATGGTTATTTCCAAAAGCTACGGATTTTCAAAAAAAAGTCATTTAAATAATTTTTGAATATCTTTAGACAATGATTAGTTAGAATAACCTACTTTTTTAAAAAAATAGCTAGAATAACCTTACTATTTTTTTTTGCTGAAATAACCTATTCTATATTTTTTTTCTTTCATAATACCAAAACTGTCATTCGCAGACTCTGCCGAGGTATTGGTAGACTCTGCCGAAACATTGACAGACTCTGTCGAAACATTGGCAGACTCTACCGATATATTGGCAGACTCTGCCAATATCTAAAAATACGCAGACTCTGCCAAAACTTGAGTTTTTGATATATTATTTTTCAAAGATTTTGTTTTTCTATATAACTGCTTTACGATTATTTTCAAGAATTGCATCTTTTTGATATAACCGTTTCATAGTTGTGTCCTTTTGAAAAACTTGATTTATGGTTATTTTTAAAGATTGCATCTTTTCTATATAACCACTTTTTAAGGATTACATCTTTTCAAAAACTGTTTAATGGTTATTAATACACCATACAGTTTTGTTTTATAAAAAATCATTTTATGGTTATTCAAGCATCTAAGCATTGTGTCTTTTCAAATTAATCATAGTAACCTAGAAAATACATTCTAGAGTTGCGTCCTATAAAAAAGACTGTTTTATGGTTATTAATACATCCAAGAGTTACGTCTTATAAGAAAGATTGCGTCTTTTCAAGAAAAAAAGTTATATTATGGTTATTAATGCATCAATGATTGTGTCTTTTTTATAAACAAATCGTTTTACTGTTATTAAAACATATCTAAGATTGCGGGCATCTTTTCGAAAAATATGTTTTATGGTTATTAAGGCAATATAAAGTTACGTCTGTTCAATGAAACGTCTTATGGCTATTAAGACATCTAAGGGTTGCGTCTTTTCGAAAAACATCGTTTTGTGGTTAATTAATGCAACATAGGGTTGCATTTTTTTTTAAACACCATTTTATAGTTATTATAACCTATTAATGCATCATAGGGTTTGCATATTCTTGAACATTCTGTTTTGTGGTTATAAATGCATCATAGGGCTGTGTTTTTAAAAAATCTCTTTTATGTTTATTAATGAATCCTAAAATTGCATCTATTTGAAAAAAAGAGCATCAATAAAGGTGAGACTCTTGAGAGTCTCTAACTTATAATAATTTAATAGTTTTTATTTAATTTCATTAAATTTTTAAATATTAAATTATTAAATAAATAATGAACAAGTAATATAGCAACATGTGGCCGAAAAAGTTTAGAGACACTTTCAAAAGTCTTTTTCCAATGAGACGTTTCTTCACCAAAATCTCAAAAGTTCTTTTTTTTTCTTTTTCTTTTAATTAGATGATACTCATAGAGTATCACCATTAATGATGGTCTAAGGTTGTGTTTTTCTGCCAAAAAAAATGTTTAGTGGATGTTAATATATCGTAGGAGTGTGTCTATCGTTTTATGTGAAAATATTTCCTATGATTGCGTTTTAAAGAAAAAACTATTTAATTATATGAAACGTTCAATTACTGTCTAAATCCTAAAATGAGATCTAAATTGTTTTTTTTTTTTCATTACATAGTCTTCATACGTTTAATTTGGGTTGCCTCAACCATTTTTTAAAATCCTTCATTGATGATTATGAGTTTATGTTCACATGTATGTGTCGAAAGTAAACTGTATTTTTGGTTATGTTGACACTAAATTTTTTTTTTAAATGTAGTTGGAAGTTCTTTATCCCCGTGATTTCGCGGGGGTTTCAAGTCCTCGTATTTTTTAATTATAGACGTAATTGCAAACGGAAGAATTTTGTTTCTTTAGTCTTCAGGGTTGCATTTATTTGAATAAAAAATGCTTTGCCAAAATATAAACACAATTTTGTATTTGATCAAACTGTACCTATATACTGGACAACATGTGTATGTATGTATACTATATATACATATTTATACAGTGTTTCTAATTTTATGTAACTCACGCAAATATACAATTTTAATAGGGATTATGACACGACAAACATCAAT